AGAGGAAGTCGATAAGTGATACTTCCTCCGATACAAAATAAGTGTCGCAGTTTTGAACTAAGGTTAGTTCAACTTTAGTTCAAGACTAGCTACGACACTTACTTTGGATCCGAGGGAGTAACAATCATCGAAGAGAGATGCCGCAATTACCAAAAAGATCCTCCCTCTTGTATAGTATTGATCACATCATGGTTGTGTGAGTTAATCACAAGTTTGTTGCATCCCATAGTTCTTGCTAGGTTCATGATGTATCTCATTTACATGGCCTTCGCAGTAAAAGATTGACGAAAACCTCAGTTTTATTCTCAACTGCTATGAACTTTCCATTGCAGTCCCTCAACCCCACCCTCCCAAGTCTCCATGTGGGGATACAGGGTCAAAAGCAACATATATTTGGCTCGACATAATTTTGAGGTGGCAACCTTCATCCACTATGCTAACATAGCTTCAGGGGAGCTAGCAATCAAACAGTTAGTTGTTAAAGCTATATCATACGAGGACACTTGAACAACAGACTGAAAAGGCTCCTCATGTGTTAACTTATGTCTTCCACCACATGTACCTAGTAGTGATTGCAACAGACTCTCGGAATTTACCATGGCCCATCACAATTACTTCATTATTGGCATGTTCAGAAGATGTGCTAGAAGATCAATCAAATAGGACCATCTGATGATGCCATCCATTCCCATCAATGGCCAAACTTCTCCCGTCTTTGCACATTCAAGAAATAGGCGTTTTACATTTTCTGCATCAAGGCTAGAGTCAGGGCATTGCAGACTTTGATGTGTCTGTCCGCAAGTGTAGCCTGGCAAGGCAATGTTCACTGTAAAGTTCTTCAAATGGAAATTTTGAGTTTTGCTGGACATTACAAGTTTCAAACATATTTCCAAGAATAGTTAACTGCAGCCATCCCAACTCCGTTCTCCCTCGTCGCCTTATGGCTTGGTGATTCCAGTCTGCATGATAAGCCGAACGGACTAAGAAGGAATCCATAATGGTAAAACTCTAGGCAATAATATTTTCCATTTCATGCATCGTAAACGGAATAACCAATAGCCTTTGCACATCAACTGGCAACGTTTGTGCTAATAACTATTCATCACAATTACAATCAAATGAATTAGGTTGCACACTCCAGATAGCAATTGACCGTCTCTTCCAGTCACTACCATTCAGTTGGATGATTGCGATATCCATGCATCTATCTACATATTTAGGTTCTAACAATTGTGGGATGTAAAGAATTGGAAGCGGGTATACATCGGAAACCTCATGCCGTGCTTAGAGTAATCGAGGTGGTTCTGAAACAGTCTCCAAATGCTATGATCATTAGCGATAAAGGTTTTGAGGCGGGGGAACCGCTTTAGTGCATGTACCAAAACAGTCTTCAATGCACTATTATGTACTAGTGAGGCCGGGCGCGGACGTCGCTGCCGCAAAGCCACACTTGTGACGCTGCAAACCGAAATGTGTGATGTTGCAAGGCGAGGACATCGCTGCCGCAAGGCTATAATTGTGACTACAAGGTTGGACCCGTGTGCTGCATTGTGATTGTGCGAGCACCGAGACCACCATCGGCGAGTGTGGAAAGAAAGATAAGTGGGAACACAGATGGGATGTCATGTGTTGAAATAAAGAACGTGAACCTATCAAGGTCTTGAGTCATGGTTATTGGGTTGGGCCGTGTGCTTTTTTTTTGTTACAACGCACAGGCTCTCTTTTGCTAGTTTTTGTTGTTGTTGTTGTTGAGTAAATGCTCTTTTGCTAGTAAAAACAAAATAAATATAGACTGGGCCTGCGTGGAGCCGTGGACTCTCCTCGTCAAGCCTCCGAGTCTTCTTGGGCTCTATTGCGGCTATCTCGTCTCAGTTGTGGCTCGGAAAAAAAAACTTAAGAAAGCCCTAAACCCCATCTAAAATTTCCCCTCTCCTCCCGTCCCTGACTGCGCCACCGCCACCAGGCCACGACCGCCGCCCCCCTCTCCCTGCCACGATCCAATTGAACGGCCGTACAACCAAGCATCACACTCTTCCATATGGCAGCCAATTGCAATTTGTACGTGTCAGCGTCAATTAATATCAATGTTTTAAATAGCGGGCTATGGAAAATAGCGGCGAGCCTTCAAATCAGCTATAGCGGGCTAAAGCGGGCTATAACGGGCTATTTGTGAAGGCGACAATTTAGCGGCACCTTGCTGAAAAGGCTATAGCGGGCTATATAGCCGGCTATTTAAAACTATGATTAATATGTATCGGAGGGAGTATTATATTTTTGTCTCGGTCTGCAAACCTCAGGCAGACAGAAGCAGTACAATCTGTAGTGTCTAAGAACAATTTACAGAACACTTGGAATTAAAAAGTTGCTCCCCCAGCAAGCGATATTTTTTTTATAACAAATAGTGTTAAGAAACATGCATCTTTGAGCACCACCAGAGGAAAAATGAATGTGCTCGTTAGGTGGCCCCGTATCACAATAGATACTTGTGTAGTCGATATATTTCTGTTTCCCCTTAAAAAAAAGGACAGCCCGGTGATATTTCTGTTTTCCCCTTCCACCACAAATTTCTAGTAAGCTCTCTCCACTGCCTTTGCTTTGCACAGTGACATGGTAAATTCTGTTATAGGAGAACAAGTAAGTAAGTGTTCTCCGAGTCACATAAATTGATGGAATAAGTAAGGTGTAAGATTGAAGCATGTGCTATACGAATACCAAAAAATGCTGTACAACAGTAGAACTAGAATTCAGCAAAGCTTGAGTTCTATGGGCCATTAAAGAGTCATCATCATTACATGATTCAGAAAACAAGTTTTGAAATAATAATTTTGTGCCTTGGACGTTACAAACTTGATTGAAGCAGTTATCTCTTCCATGCATGATCAGCTGGCTGTGTGATGTCAAAGCAGTGCTGTTTTGCGAGCAGTAGTCGTTATGATCCGCAGAGGCTAGAATGAGTGACTTTAATATTGGATGCTTCAGCTTGCCACTGATTATAATATCGTGGTCCGCGTGCTTTACTCATTGTGCTCTTTGTTCTTTTTCGTCCCGAACTATGCTTATCATCGTAAACTTTTGTTGATGCTGTCCTTCTTTCTACTTTGACCGGTCATGCAGGTATTTTCTACTTATACATGAAAACTGCGGAAAGAGCCCATCTGCCAAACAAATTATGGGAGAGAGTCAAACTACCCAGGAATTATGAGCAAGCAATGGAAGTCATCAAAAAACATCTCGTATGCATATCTAGCTAGCTGCTGTGTTTTGTCACTTCATCTCAACGTGAGTCTAGTTAGCCTTATGCCATCCCTTTTTATCATTATGTAGGAACATTGGCCGGAGCTACTTGTGCACAAGATCAAACAACGCCTGACAAAAATGACTCAGTATCGCATAAGGATGAGGAGACTTCAACTTAAAGTGAGGTAAGCACTACTGTTTTAGTAGGCACAACATATTGTTTCTTGAGAGTTATCTGCTCCTGAATTCTGCGTGTAATCTGATTGTATAAGTTGATGGTACTGTTCCATTTGTTTTTCTTATATGGTAGAATGTAAAAACGAAAATACATTTGAGATCATAAATTCATAATAGAGGAAATAAATTAGGATCACCAGCAATGATCGTATGGCAAGGCTGATTGGTTATGCTAAAGTTGTTACAAGCATGGTTTTTCATTTCAGTTTCAGAAAAGAATCAGCACCAACCGAAAGTACCGAAATTCAGTGAATTTCAGTTTGCATTTCGGCCAAAGGGCCGGAATATTCACTTGAATTAAATTAAATATTTGATTGAAAAAAAAGTAAAATATTTGAATTCCTGTGTACCACTAAAATGGCTGAAATATTTTGGCCAAAAGCTAAATATTTCAGTGTCTACTGAAATTCAGTGAATTTCATCGAAGTCTCACTGAAAGTGAAAACCATGGTAACAAGTTCAGGCCACAAACTTACCAGTCGATCCTCTTTGTTAAGGTTTACCCTTGTATTATTTCCAATGGTTTATTCTATCAACAGCCTATAAAATAGTACTCCCTCCAATCCATGATAATTGATGCTGTGGTCTAGTACAAAGTTGTACTAACTTTGTACTAAATCAGCGTCAGTTAATTTGAATTTGAGGGAGTAGGTTTTTGTGGATTGACCGGCCTTTTTTACTGCTTTCCTCTCCATTCTTTGTAACGTACAAGACACTGAACAGGTGACCTCTTGCTGACCAAGCTGTAGCTTGTTGATTCATTAGTGCTGTGGGTATCGCTATTATTGGAATTGCTATTGTGCGCATGAGTGCACCCACTTTGGCAAGCGTCAGTTGCGAGCAGATGTTGGTTTAACCTCAGTTAGAGGACACCTTTCCAGCTCTGGCAACTAGCCTGCGCCCGTGCATCACTTTAGTGCTTCATCATGTGGATCTGGCCTAATCCAACGTTATCTTGTCAAATCCTTTGGTCTAGAACCTAGCTGGACCAAATCTAGGCTGTAGACGTGCGGGATGGTACGTGCTGTTGGGTGGCTCAGCTGGACTGCATTGGCCATGAGCACCGACCAGAAGCAGAAGAGTCGTCCAGGTTCCATTTATCCGTAGTTTCGTGCAAATGCTCTAAGTCTCTTAACTGTCCAGTGTTTTTGCCTGGCGACTATTTTATTCGTTACACGCTTAGGGGTTGCCCATGTGAACAATAGTGTCCTACTCCTACTAAAGTCAGAACATGCACTAAGAGGACCGAAAAGAAAGAGAAATGCCCATATGGTCTGTGTAGCGAATGGGACCACAACACTGTTTGCCTTGCAGCTTATTTGTTCTGCTGTTCCAATTTCTTAGGTCTAGAAGTCATATTTGGTGATGAGTGCCGCACAGCACCTCCAGTCCATGCTTTCCCCCCTCAAGCTGCTTCCTCAACCAATCAGGCGCTTTGGGCTGCATAGCTCAGGAATACTAAAGCCAAAACGTCTTCAAATCATATGTTTTCCATATTCAAATTACTAATGGTATTATGGCGACTGCAAACCCTTTTTTGACAGTACGAAAAAAAACCTATATTCAAAACGACTAGTGATGACTTGAGACTTATGATATGACATTCGTGCAATTAACTTGTAACCAGGTTCAGTTACATGCTGATTCATATCGTTGATGTACTCCCTCTGTACACTAATAGAAAACCTTTTAGATCAGTAAGTAGTGATCTAAAAGGTCTTCTATTAGTTTACAGAGGTAGTACATACTTATACTGTTAACTTCTGACACATAAAAAAGTTGCTAAACATACTTTCCTGCTCTGCTAGAGAGAAGATAATGACCGTCCCCAGGAGGAAGACTCAGCGCGATCTCCAAAGATTAGAGAAAGCTGAAAAGGCTGCTCAACTAGAGAAGGTTATTTTTTCGGATAATCACCATCACTTATGTGTTATACATTGCAATGTTCTAACATCTTCCTGCTATCGGTCAGAGTATTGAAAGAGAACTAATAGAGCGTCTGAGGAAAGGTGTTTATGGTGGTGAAATTCATAATGTCCCCCTCAAGCAGTTTGATACTATCCTTGACATGGAAAAGGATGAACTGGCTCCTGAGATAGAAGAGGAAGAAGTAAGCGCAGACCGATTATGATAGTTAAGCTAACTTTGTTATGTTGTCACTGCTCACAAGCTTTCCCATATAAACAGGAAGGTGAGATAGAGTATGTTGAAGGTGCTGATATCGAGATGGATGAAATGGAAGACATGGAAGACTTTGAAGGCTTCGGTGGAGAAGATGGTAAACACTTCCCTTGTTTCTACTGGGCATGTTGTAGAATGCTCTGACTTGTGAGGAGCCGAAGATACTTCTTGTTGTTCTCTGTTCACTAGATAATGTTCTGACTTGGACAAAATGGTTATTCGGCATAGTAGTGCCAACTACAAATCTAATCTCCAAAAAAAAAATGATTGCAGATGATGGAGATGAAGATGATGGCCTGGATGAGCCATTAACAAAGATGCCCAAGAGATCGGGCTTCGATATAAGGTCAAAGATTGGTCGCAAGTCTACGAAAGTAATCACCGAGGTAAATCACTTGTTTCAGTATTAATATTCTTGATGTCAGGATACACTGTGTTGCCGAAAATCATATATAAAATCAAACACATCCAATTGTTTTGTCACATATCTGGTATCCAACAAGTAAAAGTGTGTAATCAGTATTGTGCTTTTCTCTTTATTTACATTGTTGTAAGCTAATATCTGCATCCGGGGCATCATATTAGCTTTTTTTTTTCAAAAACAATTCATTTTTCCGTGGGTTAACTCTGAATGAGCAGCACAATTCCTGCTGGAGTATAATTTATTTCTCGCCTTTTCCGCCACAGGTGGAACAAGACGAAAACAGGAATATCAGGCTAAGGATGCAGATGTGATTCACCCAAGCACGGCGCCTTTAGTAACATATGTGGTGTTGATGATCGTGTAATTTAGAAAAAAAATTCTTTTATCTTCTCACGATAATCTGTTGAGTTCGTATGATGGTTTATTTTGCTGAGAACACGGAAACTGGCATGAATTGTACTAACTGAACAGTATTCAGTCTCTCTCTGACCCGAACCAGGTTTTTGCAAAGTTACAGCGGATGTACGCTGTTAACGTCAAGTTGTGTGATTAATTCACAAGAGTAAAATCCATTAGAGAGGTTACTCTATTTAAATAACTTGTTTTTGCTCTAGTCACTGGACTTCAATGTACCCGCGGTACGATCACAGAACAAAGGTTTTTCTATTTGTTGGTGCACAAAACTTTCAGCAGCGATATATATATATATATATATATATATATATATATATATATATATATAGGGAAAATAGATACTACCACCTAGTGGTAGTTACCTCCTACCTTGTTACCATTAGATCCATCAAGATTCGTGCATACTTAACGGGTACGTGGGAGAAAAAAAATTGGGTTTTGTTACTTTCTGCCCGTTTGGATCTTAACTATATGCCCTATGTTTCAGGTCGCACCAAACTGGAGGATAAACCATCCTCTCCCTCTAACGTGCTGCCAAAATAAATTTAGTTATTTGCCACCGAAAGGAACGCCGCCGGCCATCCACCAAACTGCGACGAAAAGGGTCTACGAGTTTCATTGTTCATCATTGTGGTCTAGAGCAGCGAAGCCATCGACGTCCTGCCCATATGCTTCAAATTATGGAGAACAATACTCCACTGGTGCATTAGAAGATGCATGTGTATGTCTAGCTGATCTAATCTCTTGCTATAATTGCATCACATGCAGTTCTTACTTTTGAGATTGAAATCTATTTTTTCTTCCTGCAGGCTGCATAAAGACTGGGAACTTCCATGATCAACGATCTGTTTTGCGCTCCTTGTGGCCGCCGTCTCTAGTGACCAATTACCCCCCCCCCC